ACTTTAATTTAACCTTAAACATAATTCAATAGGTTTAAAAAAAAACCCCACTGCTGTAAAGAAAAGAGTTACACACTCACTCCAAAACAGAAGACTGGATAATAATCATCCATCCATCCATCCATCCATCCATCCATCCATCCATCCTCATCCGCTTTATCCGAGGCCGGGTCGCGGGGGCAGCAGCCTAAGCAAAGAGGCCCAGACCTCCCTCTCCCCAGCCACCTCCTCCAGCTTATCCGGGGGAATACCAAGGCGTTCCCAGGCAAGCCGAGAGATATAATCTCTCCAGCGTGTCCTGGGTCTGCCCCGGGGCCTCCTCCCGGTGGGACATGCCTGGAACACCTCACCCAGGAGGCGCCCAGGGGGCATCCTTGTCAGATGCCCGAACCACCTCAGCTGGCTCCTTTCGATGTGGAGCAGCAGCTGCTCTACTCTGAGCCCCTCCCGGATGGCCGAACTTCTCACCCTATCTCTAAGGGAGAGGCCAGCCACCCTTCGGAGGAAGCTCATTTCTGCCGCTTGTATCCGCGATCTCGTTCTTTCGGTCACTACCCACAGCTCGTGGCCATAGGTGAGGGTAGGGACGTAGATCGACCGGTAAATTGAGAGCTTCGCTTTTACACTCAGCTCCCTCTTCACCACGACGGACCGGTGCAGCGTCCGCATTACTGCAGCTGCAGCCCCAATCCGTCTGTCGATCTCCGGCTCCCTTCTCCCATCACTCGAGAACAAGACCCCGAGATACTTGAACTCCTCCACTTGGGGCAGGAACTCATCCCCGACCCGGAGTGGGCACTCCACCCTTTTCCGGCTGAGAACCATGGCCTCAGATTTGGAGGTGCTGATCCTCATTCCCGCTGCTTCACACTCGGCTGCGAACCGTTCCAGTGCGAGCTGGAGGCCCTCACCCGATGAAGCCAACAGAACCACATCATCCGCAAAAATCAGAGATGAGATTCTGAGGCCACCAAAGCGAAAGCCCTCCGCCACTTGGCTGTGCCTAGAAATCCTGTCCATAAAAATTATGAACAGAACCGGAGACAAAGGGCAGCCCTGGCGGAGCCCATCACCCACCGGGAACGAGTCCGACTTATTGCCGGCAATGCGAACCTGCATCTACTTTTAACCAAGCTCCTGCAACGGTTGTATAGGGATCGAATGGCCCGTAGCAATGGGCCAGACACCCCATACTCCCGCAACACCTCCCACAGGACACCCCGAGGGACACGGTCGAATGCCTTCTCCAAGTCCACAAAACACATGTAGACTGGTTGGGCAAACTCCCATGCACCCTCAAGTATCCTCGAGAGGATAAAGAGCTGGTCCAGTGTTCCGCGACCAGGACGAAAACCGCATTGTTCCTCCTGTATCCGAGGTTCGACTAACGGACGAACTCTCCTTTCCAGCACCCTGGCATAGACTTTCCCAGGGAGGCTGAGGAGTGTGATCCCCCTGTAGTTGGAACACACCCTCCGATCCCCCTTCTTAAAGATGGGGACTACCACCCCGGTCTGCCAGTCCACGGGTACTGCCCCTGATCTCCACGCAACATTGCAGAGGCGTGTCAACCAGGACAGCCCTACAACGTCCAGAGCCTTCAGGAACTCGGGGCGGACCTCATCAACACCAGGGGCTCTGCCACCAAGGAGTTGTTTAATAATCAGTTTAACTTAATTAACTAGAGGCAAATTTTGCCTTTGTTGTACCTATCAATAAATACACATTTAATAAACAATAAGTGTTTGCTTCCAAAGTTTGAAAGTGACAGTAATTTTATTGTAACAGTGATCATTAAAGATCGATCATGTTTAAGAGTTTGTGTGTGAGAGAGGCTTTTATTGGATGATTGAGCTGAGACTGGTGGCTCTACATTTCCTTACAGGTACCCACAAATATTCCACTGTTGATAACCACTTATTTATCTACAGTTAGTGTTTATCAATCTCTGAGCCATAGCTAAGCCTCGCCAATAATATGCTATAAATCATAAAACTGAACTGTGCATTTTAAAGTGCATTTAATTAATTCAATACTTAATTGTCCCATGAGGGGAAATTGGATTAGCATTGATACAATTAGAAAAATGCTAAGACCAATAAAATATGCTTAGTTTGTCTATCAGTCCCTCCTACACATTGTCTGGGCCAATAGAAACCCTGGTATGACGGTAACACATTATATCATGTTATAACGACTTTGCTCACTTCCCCTCACGGTTCGCTGAGCCTGCTGTTACATAGCGTGGCTTATTAGCCAGCTAGATATCAGGTGAGACATGAAAATATTTCAGTTACATTGTGAAGTGACACTAAGCCGCAGCCAGCTAAATCCCTGTTAGGATTATGAGGAGGTCATTGGAAAGTTTTCTTTCCTGCAAGTGCTCCTCAGTCCCAAAAGGTTTCAAATTCCTGCTATAGATGACTGGACAGCAACATTTTATAGCTTCATGGAAAATGATGACTGAAGTGAAAATACAGTGAAATCACTCACTTCTTTTTAAATTTTATTTTCCTATATTCTATTATATTGTATTGTTGCTGCTGTTTGTACTACTGTAAGGTGACCTTGACGGTCTTAAAAGTGTCTATAAACAAAATGTTTCATCATCATCATTATTACTATTATTACTATTATTATTATTATTACTTTGCAACAAAAAAAAAAAAAATCACCATTTAAGGATGTTGCTGCTCAAAACTACTTTGATCTACCTGAAGTTTCATATTAATTACACTGCTCTCACATAACTCCCTATAATCAATAACACTGCTAAGGCAACAAGGTCAAATAGCAGCAAATTAATGTGGCCTGGCCATAAAAATCACGATGCAGACACTCAAGGAGCAGCATGCAAGTGTGAGCAGGAAACAAACTCTGCTCATATATGCAGACTGATCTACACTGAAGGCACAGAAATACACATGCGCAGAAAAAGTTGTTATTTTAAACATTTTATTTCGCAGGAAGGTAAAGAAAGGCTCATTTCCTGACTCATGCATGCACATAAGCAAACATAAAACATCCATCATCACCTGCCTAGTCCTCCAGCTTGCCAGTTGACTATCCATCTGTTAATGCATTCATTCATCCATCCATCAATCTGCCCACCCTCCATCTTCAAACCATTTATTTCTCCCTGCTTTTGGCTCATAGTCTGTGCACTTACAAGTGCATCAGTCTGACTGCCAAGCCACCTATCCATCCATTAATGAGCCTCTCCATTTATCTATCTGTCCCTGAGTGCTCTTCATTTGTTTTGTCAAGTAAAACTAATAAAATGGAGACTTAAGAGTGGCACCATCACCTCATCTGTTTCTCTTTTTTCCCCAGTTTCTCCATCTTACTTTGGGTGCTGTAAAACTGAACAGGCTGAATATGGCACTCTCTTACCATGGCAACTATACCTAGGACAAAAAAACCTCAAACACTATATATTCAATTTGAAACAGATTTCATCTTTTCATTTCCTCTCACTGAACTAAAGAGCAAACCCCAAGCAGATTGTCATATCTGATCTTCAGGCAAAAAACTATGGTGCTCCATGAAAAAAGTGTGCACACTGAAAGGGTATATTTTAAAAACCACAATGCTTTAATATTCTGTTGGAATTCCTAGATAACAAACACCAGACCCATATATAACCACATATCAGTCAACTAGCATCTAAGTCTCTGATGTGAAAGACATGCTTAAAAAATGAATGAACAGATAAATAAACAAAGAGAAATATTTAGTAGCCCCTATGAAAGATTGGACAATAAACTGAAATACTCTTAAGTACTGTTAGGGGTCAACGAGCATACATTCAGGGCTCTGTGTGTGTGTGGGTGTGTATATGTTTAGACATCTTTGTGAGGGCAGAAAATTTGCACACTACTATACTTGTGGGGACCAAATGTTGTTTTAGTGTCAGGGTTAAAGTTGGGTTTAGGCTGAGGATTAGGCATTCATTTTTGATGGCCAGGGTAAGCGGCTAGGGAAAGCGTTATGTCAATGAGATGTCCTCACTAGGATATGAAAAAGAGTGTGTGTGTGTGTGTGTGTGTGTGTGTGTGTGTGTGTGTGTGTGTGTGTGTGTGTGTGTGTGTGTGTGTGTGTGTGTGTGTGTGTTTGTTTTAACCAGCATTACATTTACAATCTGCAGAGTTACTGATTATATTATATACAAAAGTTTCATTTACTACAACACTCTGTTGGCCTTCTGTCCAGCTAAAAAACACTTCTCCTTACTGCTTGCTTATATAAAGGAAAAAAGCAACAGAAAACGGTCCAGTGACGCACTTTGTGTCCAAACCCACATTTGAGTTAGCATTTACCTTGCCTCAATACAACAGCAATCATTCTTTCTATTATTATTTGTGTTTTCCAATGTATAATTCAAAACTTGATGTACCCCTGACTAATGCTTGCTGTCTCTGCAGATCATTTTTTCAGCAGAGATATAATTAAAGAAATGACTGCTTTCAGAGAAAGAATAGTTTGCCACTGCATGCCTAACTTTACTTCAAGAGTTCTTCATTTCCGCTGGCTGACTGCCGAGTGTAATCGATATACTGGGAATACTACATTCCCCTTATTCCATTTTCTTCTACTCCATTCAATTTGTTCTCATTAAACAAGATCCATTATGCTTTTCATCTTTTCTTCACTTAGTGATAATCTGTTCTCATTCTCTGCATTGCTCTCCTGATTCCATGATCATTTCAAGCTCACAAGAACATCGACACTTCCCAAATGCAGCAATGCAGGAACTCGAGCATTAAATCATATTTAATGCTTAAAAGAAATGCTTCATTACAACACTGGAAAAGCCATTTCACCCCAACAAATGGAACACTGAAATGTATGAACAGTTCAGCAAATGCAGGATTTAAGCTAATGTCTAATCATGAAAAAGTAAAACATCAAAAAAGTCATAAATTAATGCTAACAACTACAATGCTTTAATGAGAGCCCTGGAGCTATGCGATAATGTCAACACAAATACATGTACTTACGCTGGCCCCAGCGGCCCGTCCGGGGGTTCAGGTAGTTTGGGTAGAGCCCGTTGGGTCGGTCCATTTTGGCTAGTAGCTTTCGGATGTGCATCACCTGAGAGGAACACCAGTCGGATCGGTTTTAATCCAAACAGGAAATGTTCTCCTTTTTAATCTAAATATTTCAGCACTTCTATTTTGAATGTGGTTTCTCTTATTTAAGATAAAAGGCTATATTTTTTTTCTCAAAAAACTGTTGGCATTTTCTAGACCGTTATCCGCAGTTAAATAACAAATCAGCACGCCAGCATGAAAATTAGGACATATAGTGTACATTCATACTATTACCTTCTGATAGTAGGCTGGGTTTCCTGTCAGGTAGGTGAGGTGAACAAACTCCATGTGGAGGGTCCCAAACTCAGCCAGGATGCTACTGCCTGCTGACGCCCAACCCCAGTTACGGCCGACCCCACTGAAGAAAACAAGAACAAACAAGAACAAAGAAATGACACTTGGTCATGGTGGCAAAGGGTTAGGTTTCAACTTAAACCAATGATGGATGGACAGTTTGAATAAGGATTTACGTGTCAGTTTTTAGGGCAAGGATTTTCAGATACCTGCCTTATTCACATTATCAGAGCCCAACAAGGCTAGCCAGGCCTTCATTCTTATCATCATCATGGTTTCCTCTAATGTTTCTTATCTTGGATCTATCAAGGAATTTGTATAACCAAGACATATGCTAACCATTTCCCTACTGTTGCCTTTAACAATGCGAAAAAAAGACAAACACATTTGTCATGACCAGGACTGCACCACATCATATCATCAATGGCAACACCAGATTAAATTAAACATGATATAAAAGTATCATGTTGTGATATCACAGATAAATGCCACACATTTTAATTCCACGCTGTGCACACAAGACGAAACTCCCAGGAACATGTGAGAGCAAGAGCCACATTTCAGCCTCTGTTAAGGATTTAGTATTTAAAAAGGAAGCTACTTAAACTATCTCCAACATAATACGTAAGAAAACAGTTTCTTCTAAAGGTGAAAACAACTTATTTTACTACTTGAGGCAAAAACACAGTCAAGCACAACCACACTGTGAAGGCATGCATAATACCAGCAGCTGCAATAAACGTTAGCAAATCCTTCCGCTCATCCTTGGAGCTCTCGCTAGCTGCACTCCATAAGACAGGAAGAGCACATGGTTCATGGAAATTACCGGTACTGATGCGGTTACACTGAAGTAAAGAAGGGTTTAAAGATACAACATGCCAGAAAAAACATTTTCATTTTCAATTTTATTATGTTGCAACCTTTTTAAAAGCTACAAGGTTACATTACTTTTGTCACTGTTAAACTAAAGTGTTAATCAGTCATGTTGCACTTTTACTTAAAATTAGAAACCATGCAAACTAACTTTAAGAAAGTTTGATACTATTTTAAGTCTTTTAAATGCAGGTGTATTTCAGACTTTTTTAAGGACCTGTGTCAAGTTTAATAGGAACCTAATAAAAATTTAACAGGAATGCAAAAGAAATAAACTTTTTTAATGGCATGTTTTAAATTTTTCATCTTCATAACAACCATATAAATGTGCTAATATGGTATATAATCAATTTAAATATCTTTTGGTCTAGAGAAACACAGCAGAGCTTCAGGCTGTTCATATGCTCTGAAGTAAGAGTTGCAGCCAGTAAAACATCATCTTCAGCTTTACATGACAGGATGCAACATTAATAGGCTGTGACTTGTGTGTTTGTGTGTAAAGCACCTTAAATAAACAGGTTTGTCACTTATTGTTTTTTCTGGTTTAAATTCCTCTGTGTACAGTTGTTCCCAAGGGTATTTGTGGTGCGTGTGACTGTGTAGCTATGGATGGTGATCTGTGTACACGTACACATACACACACACATAATAATGTAGCGACCAGCAATGATGTAATTTGATTTCATTGTTTCATGCTGAATAAGAAAATGTAAACTAATAATAGAGAGGGCAGGCTAGGACAGGAGAGAGCGTACACATGAGGCATAAAACTGCACAAAGTTTCTCATTCTGTGCATGGGTGAAATGAAAGGGAGGAGGAAAGAAAACGAGAATAGAAAACACTAACAAGAACAGAAAGAGATGAATGTTAGAGTAAGATTATACATCAGGCAAGCAGAGCACTGTTAGAACCTGTGTGGAAAGGTTTTAGGAATATCACCAACTACAAGCCTAAAACCCCCCACTCCACTGATGACTTGCTCTTGGCCAACACCCTCAACGACTTCTACTGCCGTTTTGACGAGCCATCAGGCAGCCTTCACACCTCCAACGGCCCCAACAATAGAGACACTTTGGACACTCCTTCCCCCACCTCTCCCCCCTCCATAGAGTCATCACCACCTTCAAACACTTCACCTACAACACCCCCCTCCTCACCCCACACAAAGGAGGATTTCACACCACCTCCTCCCACCACAACTCTTCATATTCATGAAGCTGCCTGCTTCATTCCCTTTATTCCATTTTCTTCTACTCCATTCAATTTGTTCTCATTAAACAAGATCCATTATGCTTTTCATCTTTTCTTCACTTAGTGATAATCTGTTCTCATTCTCTTCATTGCTCTCCTGATTCCATGATCATTTCAAGCTCACAAGAACATCGACACTTCCCAAATGCAGCAATGCCATAATCCCTGTCCCCAAGAAACCTAGGATCACTGGACTAAATGACTACAGACCTGTGGCTCTGACATCTGTGGTCATGAAGTCATTTGAGCGCCTGGTTCTCTCCTATCTCAAGACCCTCACGGCCCCCCTCCTGGACCCCCTGCAGTTTGCATACAGAACCAACAGGTCTGTAGACGACGCCATCAACATGGCTCTACACTTCATCCTGCAGCATCTGGACTCCCCAGGAACCTACGCCAGGATCCTGTTTGTGGACTTCAGCTCTGCCTTGAACGTCTGGTGTCCTGGTGCAGCCACAACAACCTGGTGCTGAATGCCCAGAAGACAGTGGAGATTATTGTGGACTTCAGGAAGCACACAGCCCCACTCCCCCCATCATCCTGACTGACACCCCCATCACCTCTGTGGACTCATTCCGCTTCCTGGGTACCACCATCACCCAGGACCTGAAGTGGGAGCCCACCATCACCTCCGTCATTAAGAAAGCCCAGCAGAGGATGTACTTCCTGAGGCAGCTGAAGAAATTCAACCTGCCAACACGGACGATGATGCAGTTCTACACTGCAACCATCGAGTCCATCCTCACCTCCTCCATCACCGTGTGGTACGCTGGAGCCACTATCAGGGACAAACAGAGACTGCAGCGTGTTGTGCGCTCTGCTGAGAAGGTGATTGGCTGCAGACTCCCATCTCTGCAGGACCTGTACACCTCCAGGACACCTCCAGGACACCTCCAGGACACTGCGGCGTGCAGCCCGGATCTCAGCTGACCCTTCTCACCCTGGACACAGTCTGTTTGACCTGCTCCCCTCAGGCAGGAGGCTCCGGTCCATTCGCACCAGAACCTCTCGCCATAAGAACGGTTCCTTCCCCTCTGCTGTTGGACACATGAACAATAACCGTATGACTGTACCCGCCACTAACACATGACCCTACGCTGTGTTCACTGCAGCATTCCATGTTCGGCACTGATCACCACCTGCACTCATGTATATATCTATCTACTTAGCACTTTTAATTCTTATTCTTATTTTTATTTTCATGTCTATTTTAGCGTAATTTATGACAGTATGTTTGCACTGAAGGACCGTAGCAATTTCCTAATGTTGTAAACCTGCTCAACATTTGGCAATAAAACCCTTTCTGATTCTGATTCTGATAAAACACTGCACTAAATACTCAGTGTCAGATGGTATTTTTTCTACTCTTACATCTGTATGATATCGCTCACAGGGGATATTGCTAATACAGTTAACATAGACACACAGCTCTGGCTGTGTGCACTGTCTACCTGCTGGTCAAACCTTCTGTCTGCAAGGAACTGTAAATCACAGCAAAGCTGACCTAAACCGAGAGACAGGGAGACTAAAAAGTCTAGTGTATAACCATTATGTATAAACCATTTCAGGTGGCTACATCATGAAGCTCACTGAGAGAAGGCCAAGGGTTTGCAGCGCTGTCAAAGCAAAGGGTGGCTACTTTCAGGAATCAAAAATGTAATGTAATTGAGAGTTATTTATCAATTTATCAAGGTTTAAATTAATAATAATAATAATTATAATAATACATTTTATTTGAGGGCACCTTTCTAAAACCCAAGGTCACCTTACAAAGAGAAAAATATATCAATAAAACATAAGATTAAATTAAATGGTTTCCCTGGATTTTAAGTGTTCAATCGGGTGCTCAATAGGGAAGGCGAGAAGTTTATTATTAGCCTGCTTTATCCATTCCAGAACCAGTGCGTGCTAATGCTTGTTTGGGATTATTGTCCTATCAGAACACCCTCTCAGCTGAAGGTGACAAACTGGCTTCCCTCTGAACTTTGACGTTGGTGTTCAAGGTCATGACAGGCTTGAGTCTTCATAGCTTCTAGGTTGTTCCTTGAACATCTTAACTAATTTCCTCTGATCTGAGGGTGAAAGTCTGGCTCTTCTTTCAGACAAAGTGGTGACACATCTAAGTAACACGTACTTAGTTGTTTGAACTGATGCTCAGTGTCTGTAGTTGTTTACAAATTACTCCATCAAGCTTCTGGAGTGGTGTTTCTAAAGCCCCAAACTCAACCATATTGAAAATGTTTGGACTACGCTTAAATGACGGGTCAGTGCCAAGACACCAACCATTGAACTCCACCCATTCTGCCAAGAAGAGTGTCAAATATCCAGACAGAATTATGCCACAAACTTGTTGATGGCTATCTGGTCAAGATTCAACTTCCAGAGTGGTTTTTAACCAGATATTAGTGAGGTTACATGTATCAATTAGAGATAATCCAAAACGAACTCAAATGTATGTGCTTTATTCTTGTTTTTTAAATTCATTAGAGATGTATGCTGCCCTAGAAAAAGAACACTTCAAAGTAATCAATAAAACACGTGACCATGACATTCGTGCTCATGATGAGTGGATGTAAACTTCCAACCACAACTGTAGTTAAGTAAAGCAAACTTATATCTGTAAACTCTTCATTAGTATTCTGGTGAAATCTGTTAAATCTTGTGTAGTCTCAAAAGAAAACTGGCATTTCTGACCGTGTGGAATTTATTTCATACTCATTTCAGCATTTAAGAGAACCTAACAGATGATGGGATGGTTTTTAGTGGTAGTGTCACTAACCTCTTAAGGTTGACCATGGCCCAGGGGATACCAGTGGGGGTGTTGAAGGCAGGAAGCAGCTTCTCAGCTAGCTGGACTGCCTTCAGTTTGAAAACCTAGAGAGTGTGAGAGAAAGGGTTCACGTTAAACATATACACTTCATTCATTTGCCCGGCTAAATGTTCGACTCAAAAACCTGACAAACACAAGCATAAAACAACTGCCAACGACCAAACAAATGCAGAATGTTGGATACTGGGAGAGACATGAGTGCTAAATGACGGCCACAGAGCTGAGCAGATTTTTGGAGAATACAGAAATCTTAATATATGCAAAACCTCCCTTCAAACTGTGCTGCAGTTTGAGAGAAATACCGATATCTCTAGGGAGAAAACCTTGCAGGGCATAGGACACAGTCTAGATTTCTATTATCATGACTGGCGTCTAATTTCTACAGACTGATGCAGAGAAATGGACATGTGTTCGTTTGGAGATTACACAAGTTCTGCTGCTAGTTTGACAGATGAAGGCTCAGAAGCCCTTGCTGCAGCGCTTGTTCTTTTCTCAGCTTGCCAATCAAAGAGATAAAAGGAAACTAAGGTTATTCTACTGCTGAACTAACTGAATACCAGTAAATGCTGAAAGCTGAAAATGCCACTGTGGATGTTGTGAGTCAGCTCAGCAGCGACTGAGACGACAGCATCTACTGAAAAGACCTTTTTCCAGCAGCAGGCGTTTACTTTCATCTGCGGTCAGTTGACATTCTAATAAACTATCTTACACATTTTACATCATATTTGAATAGAACAGAAAGAAGATGGCTTTTGTTTCCATTCTAAATTGCACAGGACCTTTATTTTGCTTTTGTTTCTGTTTGATGTCAGTGAGATAGGATATTCTTAATATGGTCATCTAAAGGACACAGATCCAGCTGTGAGAACAGAAGCACACCTGCAGAACGGGTGGGTGGTTGTGGTGGGAGTGTGGGGGGGAAAGTGGTGTAGTGTTGCAGGAATGCCAGTGAATGCCGATGTTATGGCCTTTCAATAGTCAAAGTAAAGAGTGAAAGCGATTTATTTTTTACTCTAATTTTCTCTTTTATGCAATTAAAATAGTACAATTACAAATCCTCTTTGGGGGTTGCGTCAGTAAGGGTATTCAGTGTAAAACTCTGCTAAATCAAACATGCAACCCACTGAGGTGACCTCCTGTGGCAGGGAGGAGCCAAATGTAGCCTCTTTATATATTTTATTATAAGAGTCATAATAAATTTAATCTGCCTTGCAATAGTTTTACATCATGTTGTATGTCCACATATAACTGACACTAGGAAGACAGACATGTTTTGGTGTGCACGGCTTTATGCACACAAGTTCAATCTCGTGTCCTGCCTGATTTTTAAGCTACTTTTAAAAAGTTTTTCCAACAGCCATTTTTGTAAGGCAACATTAAACATGGATGTAGCTTCTGGGTTGAAAAAATTAAGCCAATGCATAAGTGCCTAAAAACCTGCATTCTATCTGAAAACCACCACATGTCAATAACAGTTATTACCAACCCCCAGTGGTTGGTAATAACTCTAATAAACATTAACACAAGAGAAGAAGACACCCTACAATGAGTTAAAACATGAACTTGTTACTTATTACTGCTTCAAAATCTTATTTGGTTTTCATATCTACCCATTTTCAGTGATATCTACTTTAATAGCAGGAAATTAACTAGGCTTATAATTCCTTTGTCTCTCTCTTTTCCATATTTTTTAAGAAACCTATATCTGACAACTGCATAATAAAACGCGAAATTCTGTTTTTGGCGTGCCACCCCAATATTTTAGTGCCCCCCCCATATGGGAACCCCTAAGAAATCATTCTTAAATAATTCTCTCCCTCAGACACTAAGACAGGCTTCGGTCTCATTACTGCATAAAGAAGGAAAGGATCCTACCTGTTGTGGCTCCTATCGACCAATAAGCCTTCTTAATGTAGACTTTAAAATCTTATCCAAACTGCTAGCAACCCGTTTGGAAAGAGTTCTCCCTTCTATTATATCAGACGAACAGACAGGCTTTATTAAAGGAAGACATTCCTTATTTAATATACGGTCCCTTCTTAATATAATATACTCCAAAAATCATAGCACTGTCCCTGAGGTGGTGCTCTCACTGGATGCTGAAAAAGCATTCGATCGAGTGGAATGGGGGTATCTTTTTGCAGTCTTGAGGAAATTTGGTTTTGGTGACAGTTTTATATCTTGGATTCATCTTTTATATACTACGCCACTGGCATCTGTTTGTACTAATGATGTGAATTCTGAGTATTTTACTCTATCACGTGGTACACGTCAAGGTTGCCCACTCTCACCTTTACTTTTCACTTTAGTAATGACGCCTCTCTCTGTGACTTTCAGAACGTCGCCTCTGTTTCAAGGGGTTATTCGTGGTGGTACGGAATATAGGGTTGCTCTGTATGCAGATGACTTATTACTATATGTTACAAATCCAACAATTCAAGTATTTCCTCTATAATGAAAATACTTCTGAGTTTTGGCTCTTTCTCTGGGTATAAGATTAATATACAAAAAAGTGAATGTTTTCCTATAAACCCAGTTGTAAAAGAGCTTAGACAGACAGATTTTAATTTCCATTTAGCTTCTTCAGGTTTTAGATATTTACTTTAATTCGTTGAAAACATTTACAACAGACTGAACTTTTGTACCACAGGGTTCCCTTTTGTTATGGTTTTGGGAGGGAGTTGATTTTTTAAATAATTTTTTGTTTTTTGTTTTTTTTTTGTTGTTTTCTGTGCGTGGGTTGTTGTTTTTTCTTCCTTTTTTCTTTTTTCTTGTTATCATCCGAATTTTAAAGGCATAATTTGTTTTGATATATGTCTTTATATCCGTTGGTACTTTCTGCATTGGGCCTGATATGTCAAATTACATGTGCAAAACTTTATAAATAAAGAGGAAAAAAAAGAAAAGAAATAATTCTTGAGGCGACACTGATCATGTCTGCTTTTTGCAACCAAGATGGCAACTGTGGAAACGCTCATCTCCAGGCTTCAAACGGAGCCTTGAGAAACCAGTGAGTGATCATGCTACCTACATCCATGTCTTATAGAGTCTATGGCCGAAATCTTGGCTGCGTGTAAGGAAGACACGTTTGAAGAGTCAGGAGACACAGGTTAAATTAATATAGAAGAAAACAAACAAAGTGGACAATATTGTAGAGCTTATGGTCTGAGTTGAAAAGATACAGTAAATGTAAGGACTTAATACAATATTATATTTTCAGTTGATATGCCCACTACTTATGGTAAGCTACATTAAAAATGCTGTATAACAAAAATGAACTGTTGTGCTTTGTTCTTCTTTTTTTTTTTAACCTCATATTGTACATTGTGGAGGGTTGTTAATAGCATCTGCATGGTTACAGTCTTATACGAAAACTATCATTCACTGTTACATGCCATGATAAGTGGCACTGCTGCTGTTCTTTTTCTCTTGTCTTCCAGGTGTAGAGCTTCCACCTACTGGTCCATTCAAATTGAACTGCTACGTATTTATTGGCTGATCTGAGCACAGTAAGCCAATTATACAACATTCAGAATATAAAATCGTGCAAAGTTAAAACAGTTAATCAAAAAAACATGATTATTGAACATGTGTGCTTATAGGAGGTGGAAAAAATATCATCACAGAGTCAATAAATTAATTAATAAATCAATGAAGTTCATGGAGTATTTGCACCAAAGAAATCCTATGAACTTAACAGAAGTTTCCACAATAATCAACAGAAACTGGGAGGTCTGGGTGAGCTGATATGGACCGACTCAAATCTGATCTCACTGCAGCACTTTAGTGAAGTGTGAATGGCAAACATGTTGCCAGTAAAAAGAAAATGGTTCAAGAATGCCAGGCCTGTAAAAAATTTCAATTTCCAGTTTTGCAATGTGTATTTCACTCATGGAGGACAGTTGTGGGACAAATGCCCAAAGAGGCCTTTATATAACTAGTAGACAGCAGTGCCACTGAGAGAAGTGGTTCAGCACAGGGCAGACGGAGGCTGATTCATCAACACAATCTGTCAGGGCTGAACAGTTTTATAGAGAGACCAGATCTATGGAAAATTCCTGCTGTCTCACAAAGTAAGAGGGAGCAATAACACATGCTGGTGTTTGCAGAATACTTAAGCAGCCAGGGGGACACTGTACAGAAGACTTGGAGGTCAAACTGTGGAGTTAAACATGAAACAAATAGAGACAAGGGGAGGGAGAGTGGGAATGACGCCGTCAAGCCGATGCAAAATAGGCCTGCATATGAACAAGATATGAATTGCATGAAAGGAAATGAAGAAAATTTACTCAGAAGGCTGAGAAGGGATGAAAGAGGCAGAGAGGAAAAGAATGATGAAAAAGTAGGCTGGTATAGACGGGACCACACCCAGGACAAGACTATCACATCTCATCTGAGGGCAGATGCTGTCCAACCAGTACTGGTGGGATTTTTATCAAACAGGCTGAATTATCTCAAACCAAACACACACACTACAAAGTAAAGGAGGATGGCTGACAAAATAAACTGAGACCCAGCTGAGCAACACTTATAAATGTGTGCAGATTTAAGATTGTCTCACAGTACAAGTAGCAACTTAAGTACTTAGAGGGGAGTGAGAAACTGTACAACTGAACCATGTTTGTTCTGTGTGTTTGAAAGCTTTCTTCAGAGACGTTGCACACTGTAAATGTGACTTTTACCTTCCACAACAATAAAGACTATTAAGGGCAACTTTGCTATTCTATGCCTCTTCTACACACATTAATATTTTATAGTCATACTGGTTTATTTTTAAAACACCAAATAAAACTATAATTTCAAGCAGGTACACTGTACGCTTTAGGAAACCTATGACACTAGCAGAAAATGATGGCAGTGTTGTTTCACCGTGCACGGTGTGTAAACAGCCGGTTAACTGCTGGGGATCACTTACAGAACTGTGGGCGTATGTGGAGCTGAAAAGCTGTTTCTTCACGCAGTGATAATGGCACGCCTATATTAGCAATTCCTATGGAGAGATTTGCCTTTACCTTCTGCACCCGACTGACTTTTTTTTGTGTCA